GGTGTTCTACCCATTTAGTTTTGATTAGTTTTTCCAATACTTTCACTATTACACTTGTCAATGATACAGGTCTATAATTGAGGGGGTCTTCCCTGCTGCCATTTTTGTAGATTGGAACTATGTTAGCCTGTTTCCACACGTCTGCTACGATTCCTGTACACAGGGATGCCTGAAAGATCAGGTGAATTGGAATGCTGAGCTCAGATGCACATTCTCTCAGAACCCATGGTGAAACTCCATCTGGGCCAGCTGCTTTGTTCTTACTGAGCTCCTTGAGCATATTTTCCACTTCATCTCTAGACACCTCTATCCGCTCTATGTTGTGCTCTGGAATTCCCATTGTGTCTGGTTCTCTGAAGTTTTCATTTTGTACAAACACACTTTGGAACTTTTCATTTAATGTTTCACACATTTCCTTTTCATTTTCCGTGAATCTGTTTCCCATTTTCAACCTCTGGATATTATCCTTTACCTGCAATTTGTTGTTTATGAATTTGTAGAATAGGCCCGGTTCTGTTTTACATTTATCCGCTATCCCCTTTTCAAAATTTCTTTCTGCCTCTCTCCTTACTGCCGTCTAGTTGTTTCTCGCATCTTTGTATCGCTGGTATGTTTAGGGGTTCGGCCTCTTCCTGTATTGATTCTCAGGGGAATCCCTGAGAATATATGACAAAGAGTGCTGGGAAGACGGGACACCACGAGTGTAGCTCTCATCCTGTAACTACACTTAGGTAATTACACACACACACACACACACACACTTGCTTGCTTACTTTTTAGGCTTGTATCGATGTCCCCCCCCCCCCCCCCAAGGCGGAACTACTAACCTTCCCCAGGATGCAACCCTACAACAGTGGCCTAACTCCCAGATACCTATTTACTGCTGGGTCAACAGACATATTAGGTAAACAAACACAAATACAAATACAAATACAAATATTTATTCTGGTAAAGTACATACATACAAGGTGAAATACAAAAGTTGATGGAATCATAGATAGAGCTAGTACATACAATGCCTAAAGCCACTATTACGCAAAGCGTTTCGGGCAGGAAAACACAGACTAAAACTTAATACTAACTTAGATTAAAGTATATATTGTGTTGTAAAAAAATCTTAAAAAAAAAAATGGGAAAAAAAAAGAGGGGAGGCAGAAACAAAAATACAATTTGGTCAACAAAGAGCATTGTTAAAAATCGTAGACATGGGTTGACATTTAGGGGTGAGGTAGGTTACTTTGAGTTAATTAGGTGGTACTTAGTTTTTATCTTAAACTGGTTGGGAGAGGTACAGTCTAACATAATTGGGAAGGTCATTCCACATGCGAGGTCCCTTGATTTGTAAAGCATTTCTAGTTTGACTAAGTCGTACTCTTGGAATATCAAATAGGTATTTGTTTCTGGTATGGTGCTCATGGGATCTGTTACAACCTTCTAGGAAGCTTTTAAGGTCAGGATTGACATTACAGTTCAGCATTTTATTTATTTATTTATTTATTTATTTATTTATTTATATACAAGAAGGTACATTGGGTTTGTGAGAATACATAGCATAGTACAGTAATTGCACTCTTGTAAAGCCACTAGTGCTCGCAGTGTTTCGGGCAGGTCCTTAATCTAACAGATAATTTTAAGTAGGTAAATTCTATAAGAATTAATAAAATGATAAATACATTGCAAGAAAAAAATGAGATGAGAGAGATTAGTAAGTATATTAAAGCACATTGGTATATTAAAGCTCTGATTGATTACATTGACAGCTTGATTGGTAATTTAAACAAGATTAATAGACACCATACAGCAGATTGACAGTACATACAAGAAGACAGCAATAATTGCAATGATAAAGATGTTCAGATTGGGTACATAAAGATTGGGAGATTGGGTAGCAATAGATACAGTGCAGTTTTAAAGCAAAAGGTAAAAAACTATGAAGATGAAATTAGGTACTTTTTAGTATTGTTTTTGAATGATGCAAAAGTTGGACAGCTTTTCAATTCAATAGGGAGTGAGTTCCATAGACTGGGTCCCTTTATTTGCATAGTGTGTTTACACAAAATAAGTTTGACTCTGGGGATATCAAAGAGATATTTATTTCTGGTGTGGTGATAATGGGTCCTATTGCATCTGTCCAGGGAGAGTTTCAGAGCAGGATTTGCATTTAAGAACAGGGGTTTTGTAAATGTAGTTGACAAGAGAATTTGTGGAGTGAGATTATGTTTAGCATGTTTAGGGAGTTAAACAAGAGGGCTGAGTGTTGTCTGAAAGCAGAATTTGTTATTATTCTGATAGATTTTTGCTGGGTAATGATGGACTTGAGGTGGTTTGCAGTGGTTGAACCCCATGAACAGATACCATAATTAAGATAGCAATAGATTAGTGCATAATAGAGAGAGATGAGAGCAGAGTTAGGTACATAATATCTGATTTTGAAGAGTATACCAACTGTTTTAGAGACTTTTAGTTATGTGTTGTATGTGGGTACTAAAGTCGAGTCTCTTGTCTAGGAATAGGCCAAGAAACTTTCCATCATTTTTATTGCTAATGTTTACATTGTCTATCTGAAGCTGAATTGCATTTGTAGATTTGCTTCCAAATAAGATGTAGTAGGTCTTTTCTATGTTAAGTGTTAGTTTGTTCGTTGACATCCATAAGTGGACTTTTTTTAGTTCATTAACAACAACATTATTTAGTGTATGTGGGTTGGGGTTAGAGTAGATGAGGGTAGTATCATCAGCAAACAAAATAGGCTTCAGAATGTTAGAGACATTAGGCAGATCATTGATGTAAATAAGAAATAAGAGAAGTCCCAAAATGCTGCCCTGTGGCACCCAACGGTTATTGGTAGAGTGGGAGAGGTTATATTATTGATGGCTACACATTGGTTTCTATCACTAAGATAGGATTGGATATAGTCCAGTGTATGGCCTCGAATTCCATAATGATGGAGTTTACGTAAGAGGTAATTGTGATTAACAGTATCAAAGGCCTTTCTCAGGTCAATGAAGAGTCCAACCGGAAACTCATTTTTGTCAAGGGCTGAGTAAATTATATCAAGGAGACTAATAATTGCATCGTTGGTACTCTTTTGGGAGCGGAAGCCAAACTGACAGGGGCTAAGAATGTCAAATTTTACGAGGTAGGAGTAAAGCTGTTTGTAAATAATTTTTTCAAATATTTTTGATAGTTTGGGTAGGTTTGATATTGGTCTATAATTGTTTGTCTGCCGGATTACCTCCTTTATGAACTGGTGTTACTCTTGCTTTTTTAAGGATATCAGGGAAGGTATGACACTCCAGGGATTTGTTAAACAGCAGAGCTATAGGTGGGGCAAGGGCGTGGGAGGCGCTCTTGTATATAATGGATGGTATTTCACTGATGTTCCCAGCTTTGGTTTTTAGTGAGTGTAACCTTGAGGTTACCTTGAGGTGCTTCCGGGGCTTAGCGTCCCCGCGGCCCGGTAATCTTGAGGGATTGGGCCAGAGATTTTGTGAAATATAATTTCAGTGGTAGGCATAGTTCTTCTTCCAGCTCCTTTATAACTCTGGATTGGATTCCATCCACATCTGGGGCTTTTGAGTCTTAATTTGTCAGTGTTCTTACTGATTATATCACATGTGGGCAAATCCCTAAATTCATTCTTCTCCCCTCCTTCAAACATTTGTGTGGCTGATAGGATGTCATCCAACCTTTCTAGTATAAACACTGGCTTAAAATATTCATTTTGTGTTTGCTGCCCTTTTAACATCCAGTATAGTATATGAACTTAAAGCAATAGGAAATCAGTTTGGTTCGTTCTTGACTCGCTCAGGAATTCCAGGTTCATATCCCGGGCAGAACAGAAATTGTTTGGCATGTTTCCTATCGCCTAATGTTCCAGTTCACCTATCAGTAAATTGGTACCTAGGAGTTAGTCAGTTTGTTGTGGAGTGTCATCCTGGGAGGGTCAGTAATTTGACCTTAGGGAAGACCTATATACTGTATAAGCTTAACATGTATATATACAGTGGAACCTTGGTTGACGAATGCCTGACTTTTTTCGGTATGTGAAATAAATTTTTACATAAAATTAGACTTGGTATTCTAGGTTTGCCTTAATTCTCGACTTTGCTGATATATGTATGGGTCGGTGAGCATGTGGTTCTTCTGGGCTTGGTCGAGGCCCGCTTCAGTTTACCAGTGTCTCCCGCCTAGTTATGACCCTCTTGGAATTCTTCGTGAAGAATTTCATTGTTTTTCTGCTTTTTTGGGGTTTCTGAATATAAAATAATTATATATCATGCCATGGGTTCCAAGAAAGTCAGTGGTAAAGTTCAACCTAAGAAAATAGTTGAGTAGAGGCAGTAGAGGATATTCCTTCCTCATTAAGAAAATGTGTGTAGTATGGGAAGAACTGCAAAGTTTTGTTGAAAAAACTCGCCTAGATAAAGCTGTAGCAGGCCGTTACATTACCCTTTTTAATGACTGTGTGTTGTCTCACGACAGACAAGTGTTAAAATGTAGAGAAAAACAAATGACTTTAGACAGATTCTTAGTAAAACAAGCAAGCAGTGAGCCACAACAAGGTCCCAGTGGTATGCCTGCAAAACGTAGGAGAGAGAGTACCCTAGAAAAGTCATCACTGCCTGATGTTATAATGAAAGGGGGACTCCTCTTCCAAACACTTAACATCTCTTCCCCCTCTTCCTCACTGTCTTCCATATGCCAACAAGGCCTCATTGAAGGCAAGATGCACTGTAGTACAACATATGAGTAGTATTCTATATAAAATGTATTTTTAAGTTAATCTGTTCCACACCCAAAAATATTAATTCAATTTATATTATTTCTTATTGGAAAATTCGTTTCGGTTTACAAATTTTGGGTTTACGAATCATCTCGTGGAACAGATTAAATTCATAAACAAAGGTACCACTGTACTTGCTGCATGTACCCCCCAACAAAATGAATTATTAGTATTCTTAAATTATTAAATAAACACCTAGCCTGTCATTTTTCAGGTGAGCGAGGCGAGCCAGGCATTGGGCAGCAAGGGCCACCTGGCACTCCAGGAGGACTCACTGATGAGGACCGCAGAATTATTATTGACCAGGTGAGTATGTAATAAGTGTAATTACCTATAATATTTATATAATATCAATCCTAATGTCTTGTCAATAATTATGAGAGATTACATAAGATTAGTATTTTTACATTCTTGCAAAGCCACTAACACGCATAGCATTTTGGGCAGGTCCTTAATATAACAGATGAGGCAAGATGAAAAGGTATATTGTAGCAAAATTTATATCAACATGTAGCTACAATATAAATTGACAGGTGATTACAATGGTGAAGATATGTCTTGTGTACTAATATTGGGGAAGTGATAGTACAAGATACAATGTGAGTTTGAAGCACAAGGTAGGAAACTGAGGATGAAATTAGGTACTTTTTTATTTTACTTTAGAATAAGGCATTGGTTGGATAATTTGTTAGTTATACAACTTCTTCCACTCTACCAATTACCGTTGGAGTGCCACAGCGCAGCATCTTAGGACCTCTTCTATTTCTTATGTATATCAATGATCTGCCTAATGTCTTCAATATTCTTAAACCTATATTGTTTGCTGATGATACTACCCTTATTTATTCAGACCCCAACCCACATACACTAAATAATGTTGTGAATAATGAATTAAAAAAAATCCACTTATGGATGTCAACTAACAAACTAACATTAAACATAGAAAAGACCTACTACATCTTATTTGGAAGCAAATCATCGAATGCAATTCAGCTACAGATAGACAACATTAACATCAGTAATGAAAATGATGGCAAGTTTCTTGGCCTATTCCTAGACAAGAGACTACTTCAGCACCCACATTCAACACATAACTAAGAAAGCCTCTAAAACTGTTTGTATAGTCTCTAAAATAAGATATTATGTTCCTAACTCTGCTCTCCTCTTACTATATTATGCACTAATCTACCCCTATCTTAATTATGGTATCTGTGCATGGGGGTCTACCACTGCAAACCACCTTAAGCCCATCATCACCCAGCAAAAATCTATCAGAATAATAACAAACTCTGCTTTCAGACAACACTCAGCTCCCTTGTTTAAATCCCTAAACCTGCTAAATATTAACTCCCTCCACACATTCTCTTGTGTCAACTACATTTACAAAACCTTGTTCTTAAATGCAAACCATGCTCTGAAACTCTCCCTGGACAGATGTAATAGGACCCATTATCACCACACCAGAAATAAATATCTCTGATATCCCCAGGGTCAAACTTAATCTGTGTAAACACTCTATGCAAATTAAGGGACCTAGTCTATGGAACTCACTCCCTAGTGAATTAAAAAGCTGTCAAACTTTTGCCTCATTTAAAAACAAAACCAAAAAGTACCTAATTTCATCTTCGTAGTTTCCTACACTGAGCTTTAAATTTGGGTAACACTACATACAGAGCATTCTCCCAATCTTTATGTACTTAACCCAAATAACTTTATCATTGTGTTCATTGCTGTCTTCTTTTATGTGCTAGCCATATGCTGTATTGTGCCTACTAATTTTTGTTAAACTACCATTCAAGCTGTCATTGCAATCAATCTGAGCTACCTATGTGCTTTAATATACCTACAATTTTCTCTCATCTTTTATTTTTTTTCTTGCTTTGTAACTGTTATCATTTTTTATAAATTTTGCAAGTATTTACCTTCTTAAAATTTTCTTAGATTAAGGACCTGCCCGAAATGCTGCGCGTACTAGTGGCTTTACAAGATTGTAATTACTATACTATGTATCCTCACAATCCCAATGTACCTTCTTGTATATAAATAAATAAATAAATAAATAAATAGATTAAGTTCCCCATTTGGGTGGAAACAAGGGAAAAACAGAATCAGGTTATCCCAATCCCTCATCAAGGTATCAAAATTTTGTCTGGCCTCTGCATGCTTACCCAAAGCTGTTAGCTGTAATCATGTTATTAGTTAAGGACAGAACTGCTACATTGATACTCCTTAATTTCTGGCATTCAAATCATTACCCTATAAGAGTATACAGTACTGGGATTAGCTGGCCTGAATAGGCAGGCATAGGGTGTTTGAAAATGAGCTTGTAAATAGTCCTTTCCAAGAGAGGCAGAGTTACTAGTAAGTTCTCACTCTGAAAACAGTTTTGTAGGGAAGTCTGGAAATGGCCTCGGGTAAAAAAATAGCATTAGATCAGACTTTGAATTTATTTATTTATTTATTTATATATATAAAAGAAGGTACATTGTGAGAGTACATAGCATTGATTTTTTACATTCTTGTAGAGCCACTAACACACAGCATTTCAGGCAGGTCTTTAATCTAACATAATTTAAGTAGGTAATTTCTAGCAAAATTAAAAAATGTTTCAGTTACATTGTAAGAAAATTTGAAGATTAGTAGGTACATTATAGTAAAATTTAAGAATTATCAACAGGTACATAGTAGCATAATTTGAGGAATAGTAGTAGGCATCAGTAGTAGGGGCCTTGACAGCTGAGTGGACAATGCTTCAGGTTCATTGTCCTGACATTCTGGGTTCGATCCCTGGTGGAGGCGGAAACAAATGGGCAGAGTTTCCTTTACCCTGATGCCCCAGTTACCTGGCAGTAAATAGGTACCTGGGAGTTGCTGTTGCTTCAGGCTGCTTCCTCGGGGTGTGTAACAAAAAGGAGGCCTGGTCAAGGACTGGGCCGCGGGAATGCTAAGCCCTGAAATCATCTAAAGATAACCTCAAGAAGAATCCATCAGTCTCGGGAGACTATGGAGTTGTGCTCTGGTGGTAGGTCTGGAGTGGCGACTCCAGGGTGCAAAACCAGAGTAGGTTGATACAGGGGAGAAGCTGTCATCCAAGCAGCAGGTCCTCCCCTGTCCATGGCACCAAAAGCCTCCAGTGGAAAGGCAAACGCCAATACAATTTTTTCCAGCGCCAATTTGAAGTTGGTAAAAGAATGCACAGGGACTCCAAACCCCGCAATTGCCTTGGTCGTGACCGGAGAAGAATTATCCTACCAAGGGCAAGAACGATCCCAGCCTCCTGAAGCAGAGCTTGGGCGGCTCGAGCCCCAGGAGGTGGACATCCGAGTCCCACACCTACAGGTTCCAGACAGAGATCGTCACAGCCCTCTGTCACCTGAGGCTGGCTTCCTTCATGACCCAGCTGAAGTAATAATAATTAATTAATTAATAATAATTAATTAATTAATTATATTAATTAATTATGGAGTAATAATTAAACTATTATTATAATTATTATTATTATTATAATAATAATATAATTAATAATTATTAATCTTACAATAATTAATAATAATTATTATTATAATTAGGTACATTCTAGCATAATTTGAGGATTATTTCTAGGTATATTATAGTAAAATATGCATTCAATATAACCACCATGATGTATGATAGCAGTGATTATAATGATGAAGTTGTATGGGTTAGGCACATATATTGGGGGAGTGGGTAGCACAAGATACAGTGCGAGTTTAAAGCACTAGGTAGGAGACTATAAGGATGAAATTAGGTACTATTTGGTTTTACTTTTTAATAAGGCATAGGTTGGACAGCTTTTCAATTCATTAAGAAGTGAGTTTCATAGCCTAGGTCCCCTTATTTGCATAGTATTTACACAGATTTAGTTTGACTATGGGAATATCAGAAAGGTATTTATTTCTAGTGTGATAATTATGGGCTCTATTACATCTGTCAAGTTTCAGATCAGGATTTGCATTCAAGAACAAAGTTTTGTACATGTAAATGGCACAAGAGAATGTGTGGAGTGAGTTTGTTTAGCATGTTTATGGACTTAAACAGGGGAGAGGGGGTCTGTGTTGTATGAAAACAGAGTTTGTTATTGTTCTGATAGCAGATTTTTGCTGGATGATGATGGGCTTAAGGTAGAGTGCAGTGATTGAACCCTGTGCACAGATACCGTATGTAAGATACGGACAGATTAGCATGCAGTATATACCGAGAGGAGAGCAGGGTTTGGAGCATAATCTGATTTTAGAAAGTATACCAACCGTTTTTGAGGTGAGCCCCGTCGGCTCCTTGAAACTAACGGACTGATATCCATTATATTAACCAAGAGCATCGGTTAATTGGAGTTCTTTGCCTACCGGGAACCATGAGCCAGAACCTGGCTCCCTCAGAGAGGCACAGGAAGCAATGGCTTATGAACACTCCCCTTTTTGAAAGTATAGTCATGTCTGCCAGCGACCGGGGGTATCGCCCAGAAAGGTAGGAGAGCCAATACAAACCCCAACTGGTAAAACAGTGCAACACAAGACCGAACAGAGCCCAAGAACTCCCCCGAAGAGGCAACAACGAGGATGCGAATGTCCCCCCCCCTCTTTCTCCCCCTTTTCAGGCGCTGCTTGCTTGGTGTCTGAACTCGAGTTTGTTTTGCGGCTCCGCCTCTTTCACCAGGTGAGGTACCTTGCTGATTTGCCTTACTCCTCTGCTCTTCACATTTGTTGTTTTTGACGTAAGTATATCTCCAATTGCATGACGATCAGGTGGCTTTTCTGATGGTGTCCCACTTGTGGTCTTCCTCTCGGTAACAGTATGAAGTCTCTTGGCATTCTTTTTGCTATTTCCTGTCCCTTTGTAGGTTATCATCCATTTCTGATTGTGTTGTTTTGTCCTTTCCCTCGTGGCTTTTTCAGAACCATCATCTTATGTTGAATACTGTTGCTGCTTCTCGTGCAGCACTGGCAGAGACACTCCAACTTGCATTCGGGGTGGATGTCACTTCTGCTCCGTTCCGCAAGCGCTCTCATGTTTTTTTTCACCACCAGCCACAATACGTCCAGAAACCTCAGTATAAACACCTCGGTACGTTCACCTCAGGCCTGAGCCATCCTGATCCATGGATCGAGTGCTCTCTTTTCTCTTTTCTCCTCAGTTAGTTGTGGCCCCTTTGGTTCAGAATTGCTTCAGGAAGGCGTTGTTTTTGTTGGCTTTGGCCTCTGGGAGTCGGGTTGGGAAGCTTCATACTTTTCTCCGGCGCAGAGGTTTATGCTCCTTTGGCTCTGGGGAGCATCTTGTTCGTTTGCAGCCATCTTCTCCTTTTCTGGTGAAGAATGAGATGGCGGGTTTCCAGAGGGGTCCTTGGGTTATTGATGCTTTTTGGTCAGGCAGGGGGGTGCATCATATTTTGTCTGGTTGTGGTTCTCTGTCGTTACCTGCGTGCCTAGGGTTCTGTGTCTAGGGATGCACTTTGGGTTGATCCAGTTTCGCTCGTTCCCTGTTCCAGGGGTCAGTTTTCTCAGGTTGTCCGCAGGTGTATCAAGTCTAGCCAGCCTGCGGTCTATCCTCGTGCCCATGATGTGCAGAAGTTTGCAGCTCTTGCTGCAGTTTTTGGTAACATGTCTTGGATTGACATTCTGGCACGGGGGTTTTGGAGGTCGAAAAGGGTCCTGGCCGCCCGTTATCTTGTTAATGTTCTGGGGCCCTCAGCAACCTTGAGTGGCTTTGGGGCATCTGGCGCGGCCAATTGTCCCATCTTCGTTATGAAGCATGTGGTTCTGCCACCTCCTGGGTAAGTTCCTTTTACTTATCTGTGGCAATATAGCTTTAGGGAGCCAACGGGGCTCACCTCAGAAAACTTTTCAATTTCACTGAATGTAATGAAACGCCATTTTCTGGGTTGAGCACTGGTGGCTCCCTGACACCATCCCTCCCTCCCCTCCCTCCAGTCGGCGGTTTGCTACGAGTCTACGAAGTGATAGTGTCAGAACTTGGGTCGCCTGGGCGGTGCCCCCTCTAGGGGAAGGGGGGTCACTAATAAGCAGGTGTGCTGGTTGAGTGGATATTTTTCGTCTTGGGGGGGATGAGTTCATAGGCTCTGCTTGGTCTTGGGTTGCAATGTTGTACCAGTTGGGGTTGTAATGGTTCTCCTATATTTCTGGGTGATACCCCCAGTCGATGGCAGACATGACTATACTTTCACAAAAGTGGAGTGTTCATAAGCTATTGCTCCTGGTGCCTCTCTGAGGAAACCAGGTTCTGGCTTGTGGTTTCCAGTAGGCAATGAACTCCAATTAACTGATGCTTTGGACTAATATAGCAGATATCAGTCCATTAGCTTCAGGAAACCTCTGGGGCTCAACCAAGAAAATGGTGTTTCATTACATAGGACGTTGGTTTTTTTGATTGTCTTGTATGTGGGTGCTGAAGTTGTCTCTTTATGTATAGGCCAAGAAACTTTACATAATTTTTATTGCTGATGTTAATGAGGTCTATCTGAAGCTGAATTGCATTTGTTGATTAAGAGAGAATTAAAAGGAAAATTGATGTTGGAATATATACTGGTGAAGCATCCCAGAGTTCCTGAAATAAAAGGCAAGTGCCTTGTCCTGTTATTCAGTTCATTATTTGTTAATAAGCCTTACTCAAATTATAGAGGGTATTCAATAGCATTTACCTGATTTACCTGAGGGGCCACTAACCCCTAGTGGCCTCAGTGAGGACAGTGGCCACAATGACACACCCCATACAAACACTTTTTCATATGTTCAAGACTCTTTGTTCAACAAACTCACTAAAGTTTGTGATCTAAATAGTATCTACCTATGAGCATTACCCCCATTTTAATTTATTCCATGTCATATATATCTGTGTCCATCTAGTTATTGTTTCCCTTGTTTCTGTACATGATTTAATTATCATTTACCACCGTTGTCAAATTAGAGCACTAAGGATGATTTAAATAATGTCTAATGAAATTGATGAACAATTAACAAAATGCTTAACAAACCCATTGAAGTCCTCTACCAGTGTGTGTAGCCCATGAATCCTACTAGGTAAGTAAATGATTAATAAAGTATTTCACATGTGTTGCCTGTAAGTGAATAATGTGATTGATTGTTACCGCCGAAGGCGGCTAGTTTATTGTGCACCCCATACTCATCCTGTGAGCGATAGCACAAAAGCATTACAGAAGGCACAAAAGGTCTTTATCAGACCTCATCTTAGATTATTACATAAACAATTTCATCTATCCTTCACACCTTAAAGTGACAATGTCAGCTAGTTACAGAGAAAGTGCTATTTCAAGAACTATATATTTACAGTAAGTCATCATACATTAATGGAAGGTCTTATCGCTAATACATAATAGTTTGACCAATGGGGATATTACAGTCATAGGGGAGCTTCTGTTTATTATTAGTCCTCACAATACACTACTTGTTTCTGAATCTCATGTCATTCATCTACTGGAAGCGAAATGTGGATACAGTGCAAAGATTTCAGGTAATTTATCCATGGTAATCAGATAGGTTGCCATATCATACAGAGTGAGCTTAGATTTATCTCTAAATGGCTAAATTTTACTACAATCCAAGATATAGTGTTCGAGTGTGTGTGTCTGTCTTTGTCCACACACATTACACTTTACTTCATCTAGATCCCTATACAAGCCGAACTGCCAGAGATACTTGTAGCCAAGTCTTATACGAGCTGTGACAACATCTGTTAGTCTACTGACTTTGTTACTTGCCCCATACACATGTTTTACTTCACACATTTCATTGTGATGAACAATGGACCTGCTAGTTCCAGTTTGCACTGTTCTACTTTCTTCAAATTCATCTAGGAGTTCTCGTCTAATGACACTTTTAAGACCTATTTCATAACTCAAGATTCCGTTCAATACTGTCTTTATTTACTGCAACCTTAGCAAGGGCGTCAACTTTGTCATGTTCCTGCAGGCCAATGTGAGAAGGAATCCACAACATTTTTATATTTACCTCGCACATCTTAATGATGTGAGTGATGTGTTATCCTGTATGTGAGTATTAAGAAACTTGCAATGTGTTAATATACATTAGGAGGAGGAAACATGATACTGTATATAAAATTTCTGGGTTGTCACACAAACAGCTGACGCTCAACTCCCTCAGACACAACTAGATGAGTATGTATGAGTATGCACACACCCCATACACTGACTTCTGCAAACTTTTCACTGCATTCCAACTCTCCCCACCAGCTGATTGGTACCCTGGAGGGCAAAGCGGGTGGTGACGCTAGCGGAGGAAGTGGCATCAACCTCTTTGACAGTGCTGATGGCGTGTCCTGGCTTTCAGGTATGATTGTGCCACATGGGCAATGTGTGTCCATCGCCACAGGTGATGGATGCTCTGACAGCTGTGATGATGACCAGGGGCTCGGTAAAGCAAGGACCTTACTATAATTCCCTGATCAGCTGTGCATGTAATAAGGTCTAGATTTGTTTTCTTGCTTCTCATAAATTAGTCATGATAGTAACTGGGTCCTGGTAACTGAAAGGTTGAATGGATCCACTTAACAGGATCTTTGGTGATGAAGCTGTATTGATTGAATTGATGGGGGATGCAGTGTCATGAAAAGTTAGGCCCTATTAAGTGTACCATTAAAAACCGCTCTCAACGAATGGGTTGCTGTAACTGGGCTCTAATGGTAGGATCCTATTTTTATCAGTCTTTCTAAATAGTTATTTTCCTAGTTCTTCATGCACTTCACTAGAGTAGCTATTTATTGTGTTTTTATATATGATATTTATTTTATGCAAGTATCTTCATTTTCTGTAAATTATTTCTTTTTTTCTTAGGTAGATAGTAAATACTTTTTTTTTTTTAACTGGATGCTGATCTAGCTATGCAAAGCAGTATTGTTCTATATTTTATTTAATGTATTGTGCTACATACTTCTGAGCTCTACCACTCGGTTACTCCCTTAGGCAAGGTTCTGTTGGTCTATTGAACATGATCATGCACACTCTTAGCACTGTACTGGTGCAAAAGGGATTCTTCTCCAATATTGCTCTTGGGTCATACTTGTGCAAGGAAGACCCTGAACTTAAAGCCCTTCCAAATGCTGCTTGGCATCAAAGTAACTTCTTATGGATTTTCAACATACTTCCACCAAATATAAGAAATATTACTGAAACGAAAGGGGAAGTTTTGAGGAGGGAATTGGACAAGGTACTGCAGGACTGCTGGATCAGCAGGAGTGTAATGGAAACTTGTGTTTATGGGCTGCTAAAAACAACAGTCATACTGATGAAGTTATTGCCAGACATGCCTGGCCTATAACTTGGCTTCAACAATAGAAAAACTCGTGAAACTGACTAAGCTAAGAAAACTAAGGCCACATAAGGGTGCCGAAGTCCAGGAACATTCGCCAAATACCAGGCCACCAGAACCATGTTAGACCTAAAAAAAAAAAAAAAAAAAAAAAAAAATCAGTTGAGGACATATTAGTAAACACAGCTGTGAGAGCTGTATACTGTACTTCCAAACATCATGGGTACGAGGGTAGACCTCAGATTGGTTAGACTTAATAACTCTGTGGATGACCTGAGAAACAGACACATTAGAACAGGTAACCAAGGAAACAGGATCAGCCCACAAAGAATGCACTGAAGCAGAATCAGTGGCATTGAGGGTAGTGGTAGAGAGTTGTCGCCGAACACAACACATGATGCACCTCAATCCGAGCCAATCTTGCATGTTGATATGCTGTGTTGGCCCATTCTTTAGATTCAGCTTGGAAGTTTTACCCTTTTGGCTGCCCTCCTTTTTCTTCTCTCCTTTTTTCTTGATGTTGTTACACAGGTTGTTTCTGCAGCAGCATTTTACTGCTGCCCGATTTATCATGAAAGCCTTTTATATAATAATAATAATAATAATAATAATAAATTATTATTATTATTATTATTATTATTGGGTGGAGCTATCCAGGTGGTTAGCACTAAGGACCCACCAGAAAGAGGTATTTCATTATAGACTTTCAATGCTTGTTTCTTAATGGTCATTCTGGGCTTGATTAAATGCTCTCTTATGCCTCCCTTATGCCAGTATGGCAGATACGGACATTTTGAAAAACCCAGTTAGGCCTGTGCAGAATGCCATTGCCAAATTGTGTATGATGTTCATCAGACCAGTAGAACCTTGTCTAAGGGAGTATTGCAGAGTACCCTGTTCAGGAAAATGATTTTCTTATACAGTACACTCAAAGCCAAAGATTTTATTAAACTTTTTTTATTTAGTTATGAGCAGCATTATTACTTGATACTGTTGTAATTTTTTTTCAACATACATATATTGTAGATTTTCCAGCTCTGTACCAAATAAAATAAATTTCCATGCACTGATTCTTTTATCCCTCCTTATTCCCAACTTCCACACATACATTTCTCCACCTCACATTCTCCCACCAACATCTTTATCATCCCTGTTCCTCGACCTACTCTTCCTCCACATCTCCCTGCATATCTTCGCCTTTAACTGACAATTCCCTAAACTCTCCCCCCTCACCTACCACCCCCTATATCCTCCCCCTCTCTCTCACTTTTGTGTTTGTTGATGGAGTTTTAGTAGCTTTAAACTTTAATACTTACATCATTTTACACAAATATAAATATAACTATATTGACAATATAAATTACACAAACCTCAGTCATCATAATGTCAATTATGAAATCTATATGTTCTCTCATTGTTTCCTTATAAAATACAGTATGTATGTGCTAGCTTAATGTATAACTCTTGGGAAATGCAGTAATTCCTTCTTTTACTGCCACACAATATTAAATTATTCTCTTGCATCACTGTGCTGCATGCTTTAAAGCTATAGCAATGCCTGGTTAGTCTAAAATACACTGCTTGTTGCTCAATGTTCCTTACCAAAAGTGGTCTACACTGACACTAGCTGACAAGTGAGATACAAGTGGATGACGCTATGAATATCCGAAGCCAGCTGCAACTGCTAAGCATTTCATGTGTCAAGCACATACAAGAGTTGTCAAACATTGCATAGATGTTGGACAGCATCTGTGACCTGTGGTACAGGTCACAGCAAAGTGACCTGTGGTACATGTCGGACAATTGGAGCAAAGTGCTCTGTGCTACATGTCGGACAACTGTAGGAAGGTGCCCTGTGCTACATGTCAGACGACTGTAGCAAAGTGCCCCGTGCTACATTTCGGACAACTATAGCAAAGTGCCCTGTGCTACATGTCGAACAACTATAGAAAAGTGCCCTGTGCTATATGTCGGACGACTGTAGCAAAGTGCCCTGTGGTACAAGTCAGACAGCCGCAGCTAATTTCAGGCTATACACATGTATCACACACGAATCAGTGTCAGGTAGTATATACTTCTGACAGCTGTTGCAAGTGTCAAACACTACAAAAGTAACTTGACAGTTGCAGCATTTGTTAGCCACTGTGAGGCTTGTGGCAAACGGTAACCCTTCGTTGTAAGGGAACTCTTGGTAATTGATGCTTCTATTTCCTTTTTTTTTTATTGTTGCTTCTTCTTTGCTCGGCCTCTCCGCAGTTGGCGATGATGAGGATTTCAAGTTGGAGGGATCGGGACTGGTGGAGTACAAACCTTTCTTGCCCAGTAAGTTTTGTATCCATATAGCTCATGTCTCCTAGTAAGTCCCAATATGGCTCTCATTTCCCAGTAAGTTCTAGTATCATTCATATTACCCAATATGGTGAGTGTTGCTCAGTAAGTCTCAATATGACTTATGTATGCTGGCAAGTCCCAGAATGACTTGTGTTTTTTTAGTAAGTTCCAGCATGGCTCACATCCTCCAATAAGTCCAAGTACGGCTTGTGTGTCCCAGTAAGTTCCAGTATGGCTCTTTGTCTCCCAGTAATTCCTATGTGGCTTGTGTCTCTCGGCAAATCCCAGTATAACTTGTTTTCCAGTACGTTCCAGAATGGCTTCTGTTCCCAAGTAAGTCCCAGTATGGCTCGTTAAATCCCAATATGACTCGTGTTTTCTAGTAAGTCCCAGTGTGGATCATTTATCCCAGTCAAGTCCCTGTATTGCTCATGTCTAAATGTATTTTGAAACTTTATGAACTACTCAACTTGGTTACTTCCAAAGGTAACACCCCTCCCCAGAGGGAAGTACAATTGGTAATATGTGCCTATTGGCATACTCAAGCAAAGTGGCATTCTAACATCAGCTCCACACGTTACATCTCAAATGGCCCCAACGGGGTCACAGTAGTTTTAAAGGGAACACTGCAGAGTAGTCAATCCAACTTGAAAATTACCTACAGAGGGGGTAAATACACAAATTCAAAGCCTTACAAATCATCTCTGACATCATTGTTGACTGCCAATGGAATATTCTTTTTAACTTCCATTTGGGCCACTTGGTTGCCTAGTCCAACCCTACCAAATGACACCATCTTGCCCACGAAGAGTTTTCCTACCCTATCCTCTTATAAGTACACTCTTGCATAACAAGTTGTGTGACCTGGGATCAACACTGATACCTGTTTTTAGACTGATTTCTGCATCCAGTGTCAGAGACCCTAGATTAACCACCACACACAGACTTGGCAGGTGAGCATACAAAACAGTGGCTTACTCTTTTAGTCTCCATCACATCTTTTACAGTCATTTGGAACTTTGCTTACAGAAGTAGGTATTTACAGCTTGGTATAGTGTACATTTGGCTGTTTTTTCTATCTTATGCCACCAAGCCTTGCCTTTGCAAAGTTGTTTTTTCACTATTTAGTGATTGCAACAATTGCTTTAGTGGTTTGGGTACTCTAGTTCTCATGGTCACCTGTTCAAAGATATCCCCCCTCTTAAGCATTCTTCAGCACTACTCAGCAGCACACAAAATTTCCAGCGAACTGAGCAATGGCCCATGAACACTTTACATTTAAAGCATGTCATCTTGCCATTGACCAGGCAAGGCACCCAGAAAGCTAGACGAATCAAAACAGACTACTGCCTAGTTAAAAAAGTGCAACTTACATCCTCACAAGTGCAGAAGAACTCCAGAAAGCAAGCAAGCAAACAAACAAGCAAACCTTCTTAATTTCTCCCAACTAACCTCCCCCACCCCACCCCACACATTAGCTCCACCCATCCACAGTGGGGAAAGGGGAAGGTGACCTGGGTAAGTTAGGCCGCCATCATTCCATTCTTTGACTGATGAAGTAGTGCTGGCCGAGTGGTTGCTGTTGCTTTGACTCTGTTCCCGTTTTCTTTGGTGTTTTTGCCCTTGCGACAGTGTTATAAAACGGATGTGTGCATTTTGCCAGGAGTTTCGAGTACAGGAGTAGCATGCGCTTAAGGCCACCTAAGGTGACACCCCTAGGGTCAACACTTGCAGCATTGGAGCTCCAGCATATTTCAACAATCCTAAGTATTGTAGTACAGGTTGATGGTAGTGAGTGGTGTCCCAGAGAACATAAAGGTATAGTGCTCTTGAAAAATAGGTGAGATAACAGGAAAGTGCTAAGGGAAGTGAAAAATCGGATGAGAAAAAGTTGCCCTAGTGTTTACAGTGCAGAGAAGAACATTCAAGATGGCCACTGGCAAGGGAAAAAACAAAGGGAAGATTTTGAGGGATTCAATGAAGAAAGCATTGATATTAGCAGTCTACATAACAAGTTGGTAAATTTAGATACTATAGTGAACTCTCATGTAGAAATAATTAGTAAATTGAAAGAAAGTAATGACCATTTGAATAGCAAAGTTTTATGTCTTGAGGGTTTAGTGAAAGACTTGCGCAAGGATAAGAATCAATTGGAAACAAATTGCAAATCCATGGAAGAAGAAAATAAACTCTTAAAAATAGCTTTGGAAGAAGTAAATTTAAACATAAATGACTACAATAGGTTAGGCAAGGAAATTCAACAGGAGAAACAGCTTTTGTCAGCACAGATGGAGGAAGTTACACAGGGAATAGAACAGTGCAAGAAAGATATGCAACTCACTTATGCACAAGTGGCCAAGGAGAAGGAAAAAATAGAAGAAGCAGTAAAGGAAGTCAAACACTGCAGCAACCAAGATAAAACAAACATTAGGCTGGAAGTGAGAAAAGAATTGGCATCTAACCCGAAGTTGGTGCAAAACACAGTTGATCGGAGTAAGTCCCTGATCATTTTTGGCTGCAAAGAAAAGGCGAGAACATCTAGGTCAGAAAGAGCTGTAGAAGAAGCTAAAGTAGTAGATAAAATTGTTGGCCTCGTGGAAGGTCTTACAACCATAGAGAATGTGTACGACTACAGGAGAATAGGCAGGTACGTAAAAGGGAAAGATCGACCTTTGAGGATCACCCTAAACGGTGCCAAACAGATGAAAGAAGTACTAAGGAATGCTAGAAAATTGCAAAGTGATGAGGATGGGAAAGGGTGGTCATTAAGACGAGATCTTTCAAAAGAAGATAGAGAGAAGCTGAAACTGAACTTCGCCGAGGCAAAACGTTTAAATGAGAGCAGGAATGAAGAAGAAATAAATTCTTTTTTCTACAAAGTGATAGGGGTAGGCAAACCAGTAAAGTGGTACATAAAGGCAAACCAACAAAATCAATAGAGAGAGGGGGAGTGAAAAATAAGGAGGGGGAACAAGTTTCTGAAGATTGCATACACCAACATAGATGGAGTGAGATCGAATATACTGGAGTTAAGTGATGTAATACAGCTGCAGACACCAGACATTGTTGCACTCACGGAGACAAAACTTGAAGATGTAATTTTAAATGAGGTCATATTCCCAAGGGGCTACTCAATTTGGAGACGGGACAGAAAAATTAGGAAAGGCGGTGGCGTTGTTGTGCTGGTAAAAGAACACCTAAAGGTGAACGAAATAATGACTGCTAATCCACAAGAAGTTGACATAATAGCACTAGAGATCTGCCATGAGGATGATAAACTAATGATAATAAATGCATATAGTCCACTGCCAAGCAGCACATGGTCAAAGGAGGAGCTAGATAGTAAACGTGAAGGTCTTATAACAATAATGAGAGATTATAGCGAGAGCGGATAACGATAGATCACGACTGTTGATAGTCGGTGACTTCAACTTGAAATCCATAGACTGGGAAGCATATGAAGCTAAAACAGAAGATTTTTGGACCTGTAAATTTGTAGACCTCATTCTGGAAACATTCTTGTATCAACATGTTAAACAAGCTACGAGGATGAGGGAAGGGGACGTTCCCTCCATGCTAGATTTGATATTTACCAGGAAAGAGGAAGAGATATTTGACATTCAGTACCTTCCTCCCTTGGGTAAAAGTGACCATGTCTTTTTTGGGAATAAAGTATGCAATGCGTTATAAGCTGGAAGAAAATAAGGAGGTTGAAGCAGTTGAAAAACCAGACTTCAGGAGAGGACATTATGGTGACATTAGAAATTTTTTTAGTGAGTATAATTGGACAGACTTGATGCTAGGCAAGGAAGTGAATGAGATGTATGTCAAGTTTTGTGAAATATATGATAAAGGCACAAAAAAATTTATACCAAAACAGAGATGCAGAACTAGGAAACAGGATTGGTTCAATAGAAATTGCAAGAGGGCTAGAGACCAAAAGACACAAAAATGAAATCAATACAGGAAGAGGCCGAACCCCCAAACATACCAGCGATACAAAGATGCGAGAAACAACTACACGGCAGTGAGGAGAGAGGCAGAAAGAAATTTGGAAAAGGGATTGCAGACAAATGTAAAACAGAACCAGGTCTATTCTATAAATTCATAAACAACAAATTGCAGGTAAAGGATAATATTCAGAGGTTGAAAATGGGAAATAGATTCACGGAAAATGAAAAGGAAATGTGTGAAACACTAAACGAAAAGTTCCAAAGTGTGTTTGTACAAAATGAAATCTTTAGGGAACCAGATACAATAAGAATTCCAGAGAACAACATAGAGCACATAGAGGTGTCTAGAGATGAAGTGGAAAAAATGCTCAAGGAGCTCGGTAAGAACAAAGCAGCTGGCCCAGATGGCGTTTCACCATGGGCTCCGAGAGAATGTGCATCTGAGCTCAGCATTCCACTTCACCTGATCTTTCAGGCATCCCTGTGTACAGGAATCGTAGCAGACGTGTGGAAACCGGCTAACATAGTTCCAATCTACAAAAGTGGCAGCAGGGAAGACCCCCTCAATTATAGACCTGTATCATTGACAAGTGTAATAGTGAAAGTATTGGAAAAACTAATCAAAACTAAATGGGTAGAATACCTAGAGAGAAATGATATAATATCAGACAGACAGTATGGTTTTCGATCTGGAAGATCCTGTGTATCGAATTTACTCAGTTTCTATGATCGAGCCACAGAGATATTACAGGAAAGAGATAGTTGGGTTGACTGCATCTATCTGGACCTAAAAAAGGCTTTCGACAGAGTTCCACATAAGAGGTTGTTCTGGAAACTGGAAAATATTGGAGGGGTGACAGGTAAGCTTCTATCATGGATGAAAAATTTTCTGACTGATAGAAAAATGAGGGCAGTAATCAGAGGCAATGTATCGGAATGGAGAAATGTCACAAGTGGAGTACCACAGGGTTCAGTTCTTGCACCAGTGATGTTTATTGTGTACATAAATGATCTACCAGTTGGTATACAGAATTATAT